ATGAAGCAACGGAAAAAAGTTATGGCGCGTGGCTATTTGAACTCGTTCTTTTCATTATTTTTTATTTCTTTATTACTATAGGAAAAAAATTGATAAAATTAATCATTGACCAGAAAAAAGAAAATTGATGAACAACAAAGAAATGCTATAAAAAAACAATTTGTTCGTTGCGGTCTACATTTCAATTCCATTGGCAATTGTTAAACGGCGTAACAAATAGAAAACTTTCACTTTTCATTAATAAATAGTATTATACAAATCAATATAACTGTTAACGCCGCCATTTTGAAATACTAAAGATAAATTAAATTAATTATTTTGGTATATTGCAATTTATAATTACTTAAAAGTAAACGTCACCCATTTTTATGAAACTGAAAATTATGGAAAGATTAAAATCGTCACTGTAATAAATAAAATAAATTCTTAAAAAAATTACCACAAATTAAAAAAAAATAACGAAGGAGTTCGTGATATTTTATGAAGAGAAAATACATATATAAGGAATGTATTTATGCACACATCATGACATCAAAATGTATAATTAAATAAATTCAATAGGAAGAGAACAATTAAAACAAAAGCAAATTAATTGTTTTAATTTAAAACTGATATTTTTAAAAAAAGAATATTGATTGTATGTTATTCAGTTTTCGAATACGTTGTTTTTTTTTTGTTTTTTTTTACGCAATGACAAGAGATAATTTTTTCGATGACACAAAAAAATTGGAATTAATATACCTATTATTATCCATGAGAAATAAACAATTATATGAAAATGCGTCAAAATGATGATTAAAAAAGTGCCTTGACAAATAAACATGATTTTATTTCATTATTTCATTTTATATATTGTCTTTATTCAAAAGCATTTTTTTTTAATTTGATGCGTTAATGATTTTAAGTGTTTACTTGTCTTTAAAAATTTTATGGAACCATCGACACATTCAATCCAAATTTGATAAAGATTTTGTAAATTTATGCAAATGGGTCGTTCATTCATTACGTCATTTTTTTTGGATTACGATACACGATTCATTCGGACCGCAGACCTGTTATCGTTTCAAGGAAATCGATGTCACATTTTTATTGAAAGGTCAATGACTTATTTATGAGAGTAAAAAAAAAATTCTTTCTTTAATTTTTTTTTAACTAAAATTTTTTCAAAAACGCTTTTCTAACAAATAAATTTATTTAAAGTTAATCGGAAACAAAACAATGTCAAGACAAATTAGCTTTTGTACATGAGGTCCGTTTATAAATGAAAAGTTTATATGTATAATACAATCTTTAAATTAGTGTAAAACATTAAAATTATAATAATCCGGACATTTCTATTTACTTGCAATAATGTAACAAAGTAAATTATAACTTTACACGACTCTAACAATTTATAGCAAAGTAATAAATATTAAATAGGATTTTAGTGTTATACTTCCTACTCGTATGTGGTCAGTGGATGTCATGGTTAGTTCCAATATTGCTATTACATTTTACCTACAATGTTACGTTAGCTTACAATGTCAATTATATTGCTTATTGTCTGTGTTTAATACGGCCGATTCTCCCAATCAAAGAATTTATGTTTGTACCTACGTACTTATTATATGTCGAATATAAAGATAAAAACTTTTCTCAAACGTGTATAGCCTGATAACGAATATTAAAAACCTCGCCAGTCCAAGTTTTTTATATTCTTGGTTAATATTGTATTATATTTATATCAAAGTGACTGTATTATACTTAATAATAAAAACAAAAGGAAAATTTCACGACAGATTATTCCAAGTTCACGAGTATAAGGTTAACGTAAGATGCGCACACGCATATTAAATGACCAATCAACATGACAATTTACAAATGTTTGATTTCTGTAGAATGTGAGCAACATCATTTCTTTAACACGTTCATTGTCACAACGATTTTTCATATGAAAGAAAACCAACAAGTCGATTATGTGGCATTGAATGTGTTAAGAGGCAATAATTATGTATTTCATGTACTTATTATGCACAATTCCTCTTCCGGAAGGTAAATAACACACGTGCTTTAACAAGAGCTATACAAATACGTGCTGTGGTCTTTAACTGATAAATATGAAGATATAAGGGAAAAGAGAAGCATTAATGCGTGTTTGCATGTTGCATTTCAATTCACGGTGTAAATTATTTGAAGAATGGAACGTCAAATTCTAAACATGGCGGCCATTTTGCCATTTCACCATTTAAATTATTTTGTAAAAATTGCTAGTAGTAATAGCGTCAGAATAATTAATGTGTGTTTGTTACACGGCTAATTTTATCTTATTAGAGAAAAAATATTTTTTTTAGTTACGAGTTAAGTGAAGTGACAAATGTTTAGTTTGTTATGGTGAAATTATTTTTTGTTTGAAGATTACATAACCCAATACAAATATTTGGAAAGATGTTTATTTTATTACAATCGAATTATAAAGACTCCATAATTTTAGTGATTCACTTGGCCGTTGTTGTGTCACATATGGAACAAGTTCTTTTTGCTTGCGTAAAGATTTAAAATTGCCCAAGAATATTAAAAGGCCGAAAATAAACTTTAACTTAAAATCTTTTAATTCTAGTTGACATTTAAAAGAATTTTTTCTCAAACCTGACCTATTGGTAGGGCTGTATAAAAACGTTATTAATTTGGGTCAGCTATGAATAGTAACATTAGCAGCGAAGGGAATCATGCCAAATAATTATACAACTTCTAAAAATAAATCCTTCTAATATATTTACGATCTAATCTCCAACCAAATAATATCAAACCCTACGCAGACTCTTATCTTGAAAAGCGCGGATAAATTGCTTAGTTTTTTCATTTGCCAATTTGCCTCGAAAGTTCCGTTATAACCTATTTAAACCTTTACTGAGAAAGGCAAACTGGTGGCTAAGCGTAATCTCGTTTAACCGTTGTTTAAGGCTGAACACACGTCCCTTTTATAAGAAATGCCAATAGTGATTAGAAGAACTACCCATCTAGTACTCGTGGGTTGAAATCACGCTATTCGATGTGGTTAGTGCATACAGATTTAGGCTAACGGGATAAACTATGGAATATAAACAATGCACTACGTTTTATAGTCAGTAAAGGACTATTCCGTGAACGCCCTTTTTGTCTTCAGCGTTACTTTGAAACTAATGATCATGAACTTTCATATTTCTGAAATATTTTATTGCAGTTTCTTAACATCAAATAGCATTTAACACAGGATAATATGTATAATTGCATTAATAGGTGCATATAATATAAAACAATATTTTTTTTCCATAAAAAAAATAAAGCCTAAGCTAAAAAAACTTTTTTAATTTAAATAGCTAAATTGTGGAAGAAGATAATTGCTATCACGTATTATAAAATATCTAAATGTCATTCAAGGTTACGCAGCTGTGCATAAGAAGCTAGAAATTGAATAAGAATATTATAGAATGTTTATTCATTTCATAATCTTATGTCGCCCGGCCATCAATCAAAGGTAATCAAGCCAATATTGATTTGTAAGCGCTCTTTGTTCTAAAGGGACTCAACTCAACAACCACAAATGCCTATTGTTTTCGCGCTGCATGCCTGCCATATTTACTAATAAATTACGATGTTATACCTTATGTATAAAATCCATGCGATATCTAACCGTATATGATTGTCTTCGCAAATAATGTAAAAAAAAATTAAACATTAATATTATATTTTAATTTCAAAAAGTAGGATGTTCCAATTAGAAACTATGCTTCGGATTTTTTTGTACATAGCAAAATAAAGATTTTAAATATTGCCTGTATTATTCTTGCAGGCGTTTGTGACACGATGTGAACGGTTAGTCGCACAGTATACGTATAGTTGTAAATAATTATCGTCGACGTCCACGAGCAACATTGCCGCTTATGATCGTAGAACATACATACACAACATATTAATCAATATTAATAGTATCAAATTACTGATACTGTGCTATAAATGAATCAACGATACAAAGTACGTTCACCTCAAGGATAATGTAAAAGTGTGATAAGATAATAAAATTAAATGCCCTTGATAAGTGATGTTGCAACTCAAAGCTTCCACGACGCAGCATCGTAAATTTGTTGGAATATTTTCATAAACTTGAACCGTTGAGCTGCAGTTCAACAACTAAATTAACAGCGAACAACTCATCACGGCGTACTATGACTATGTGTTATGAGCTACGAGCTGTCTGGTGACAGCTAGAAAGAATCATGACTCTATGCAGGACAAATTGAACTGAGCTTCGAACCGGTTCACTGATCTACTTCTCACCTGTAAGCTGAGAACTGATCTGCAGGTCATAAATTCTAGTCGAGTTGCCCATGACATACAAGTTATATTATCTTACACGGCCTATAAAAATCGTATTTTTTTTACTTTTTTAAAGCAAAAATAATAATTGCGTTCACTAAGTACACACAAACGCAATTGCAATTGCAATTGCAAAACTATCCATGCGGATCTCAATGTATTTTTTCATTCAGACAGAGTCGCGGGCTACACTTAGTCATAAATATCGGCGTGATTTAAAGATTATATTCAACGCGACCGATAAGTAGTTTGTCAAAATGACACCTTCATTTTAATCTTTCTTTATTTTTAAGATAATTTGATATCAAAAGAAAAATATTACTAATATTATAAATGCGAATGTTTAGAACTCCGGAACGGCTCAACGGATCTTGATGAAATTTTGCACAGATGTAGAACATAATCTGGAAGAACACTCAGGCTACTAATTAAGTTTTTTTTAATTCCGCGCTGACGGAGTCGCGTGCGGCAGCCAGTTTTAAATAATTAAGGGTATTGACGTTATAATAATATTCATGATTTTTTTTATAAAATTCGAATTAACGAGACCGATTTTGATGGTACTTTTAATGAAAACTGGCTGATATATTCATGAGTAATCAAGATTTCCCAAAATACACACTTAGCTATCAGTTCAACCACGGTACAGTGCAAATAGTGTTGTCTTGACGCGCGTGTAATTTTATAGATTTTGCGAACCGAAGAAACATTTTAATATTACATTCCATGCGAACAAAGTCACGGGCTAGAACAAAATAATATAATTAAGATAATAAATAAAAGAAAAAAACGATACAATAAAAAAAACCTACAGATAAATTGATAACATCCTCCTTTCAGAAGTCAGTGAATAAGCAAACCTCGAATTAGTTAGTTATCTTGTAGTCGTCTTAAATTGTAGACGTGTACAATGCGGTGTGGAATAATTGTTATAATTTTCGCAGTGCTCGCAAGTAGAAGTACAGAATGTGCTCGGATCCTCGGTTTGTTCCCTCACATAGGCAAGAGCCATTATATTGTCTTCCAGTCTCTTTTACAAGCGCTAGCAGACCGCGGCCATGATGTCACAACTGTCTCCTTCTTTCCGATCAAAAATCCACCACCGAACTACAAAGATGTTAGCCTAGAAGGTATTTCGGACTTAGGATTGGAAGTATTAGATTTATCTCTTTTTGAATTCCCTCCAGTATTCATGAAGATACCAGTTATCAGTGTGTTACTGAAGGCTAAAGTCGAGATAAATATGTTAGGTGACATAGGTTTGGGTGTTTGCGAACAATTAGTACAATTACCAAGTTTAGCTGAAGTTATGAAGAAAGAATACGATGTGATACTCACGGAAAATTTTGTAAGCGATTGTATGATGGGACTTTTACACGTTTATGGGAACAAAGCTCCTGTAATCGGATTATCATCAAGTACATTCATGGCTTGGGTACCTGATAGGTACGGTGTGAATGATAATCCAGCCTATGTTCCCGTTATCACGTGCCCATATTCGACCACAATGAATTTCATACAACGATTAGGGAACTTCATCGTGAATGTTTACTCAAAATACTGGTTTTATGAATATTTGCAAAAAGAAGAGCGAGCTATAATTGAGAAGCATTTTAATACTAAAATTCCTGACTTGGAAGAGATATCAAGAAATCGATCTGTTCTTGTGTTAGTGAATTCGGTACCTATTTTGAACGGAGCCAAACCGACGGTGCCATCCGTTATAGAAGTCGGGGGGATGCATTTAGACCACACAAGGAAAGAGTTGCCATCGGTAAGCATATTCAAATCAATACGTAGTATATGAACAGTATATTAACAGTGGTAGAGCGCGCTTTAACATCTTCGCACGAATTGGCCCGGCTCGCCCGGTGAAATACCAACACACAGAAGACAGGCGTGAAGTGGAAGCAATTCAGGGTTTCGTCTGATGAGTGTGAGTCTAGGCCTAGCCCCTTTCCTTTCCCACCCTTTTTCTTTGAAGAGGAAGTGGACTTTCCGGATGAGAGGAAGCATGGGAAGGGAAAATTATTTCTTTCTGTGCATCCTCTCCTCCGTCGATTAAAGGTAGGCAACGAATATGCTATTGCGTACGTCTATGGGCCACGGTAACTTCGCTATTTCAGCGATTTCAGTTGGCCGCTCGCTCAATTGCCAACTTGTGATATAAAAAAAATGTGCAATTTTTATGTCATACTAAATGTTGCCCGCAAATTCGTCAACGTGGAATTAAAAAAAGAAAAACAAAAGAATAGAGAAAAATCTACTTTCCGTTAAAAGTACTGAGAAAATCGGTACAGACGTTAGGAAAAATTTTTCACTATCACAAAATATGATTTAAAAAATCACGCAAAAATGCTGACTTAGAATAACTTGCTTAAAACTAGTGATGTACCTTATCATCACAAATAACAATAAACTAGTCTCATTCTATCATTAAAAATTTATTTCTGCTTACGCATGCGAAAACTTATTATAACCTCGGTGTCCCCGCTGCTCGTTTGCCCTCTTCTGTTATAAAAAAAAATAACTTTAACAAAGTTATTTTTTTTTCAATACGTACATACGACAAAAAAAATGTCAAGATTTTCGTGTGTTTGTTAATTATTACAAAATACTTATGGTATATGTTCAAAAATAAATGTTGTACATTTTATGGAATTACTAATTCCGCGTAAAAGAACATGTAATGACGAATGTCTAATGACGCAAGAATATTATCGATCAATAATTACAATGGGCCAGTCCGCTATGAAGTGTAGAAAAGGCGGAAAACAGATATGGGCCGCAAAAGACGCGAACTTACCTACGAATAAGAAAACATAGACTACGTTTCCACTAGTCCGTTTTAAAGTTTTTCGTAAATAAATTCGATTAGTTTTAGGAACGGGAATCTACAATATGGATATTACTTTCACGCCTTCAGAAGACTAAGCTATAAAAATAATATATATCAAGTATAATGAACTCCAGTAAACGAGAACACTACGCGTAAGTCTTAAAATAGCACGCAGTCATGTAAATAGTCATGTAGTAAGCAGCGTACGATGTCAGACAGTACGGTAGTATTCCCGGCGACGCGGTCAGGGAAACGCGCGTGATGCGGGGACATATATTACTCTCAGTTCTTTCACTAGTTCTATTTTCACATGTAAACTGTGCGCGAATACTCGGCCTTTTCCCTCATCCAGGGAAAAGCCATCAGATGGTCTTTGAACCACTTTTAAGAACGTTAGCAGAACGAGGACATCATGTGACAACCGTATCATTCTTTCCACTCAACAATCCACCTGAAAACTACACAGATATAAGTCTGGAGAATATTTCAGAAGTGCTATTAGAATCATTGGATTTATCATTATTCGAAAGTAACGGTGTGATTTCGAAGATTCCAGTAATAAGACGGGTTTTGGGTTTAATGTTCGAATTTCAACCTTTGGCACATTTCGCTTTACATGTATGCGAAAATATGATCCAATGGGAACCGCTGGCTAATGTTTTGAAAATGGAATACGATGTTATTTTAATGGAAAATTTTAACTCTGATTGCATGCTTGGATTGTTACATATTTATGGAAATACAGCTCCGAAAGTAGCTTTGTCCTCTTCCAACCTTATGCCATGGTCTGCGGAAAGAATAGGACTGATAGAAAATCCGTCTTACGTCCCGATGGTTTCCACTGGCTTTACGTCTAGAATGTCCTATGCTGAACGTCTTGAAAATTCGTTTTTGAGTGTGTTTTATAAACTATGGTTTTATAAGAGCGTGCAAGTAAAAGAACAATCTCTTATCGAGAAACGTTTCCGTAAAGTCATACCGGATTTAAGGGATTTGTCGAGAAACTATTCGTTGACTTTGGTAAATACTTTCCATGCGTTGAACGGAGTACGACCACTTTTGCCCGCGCTGGTTGAAGTTGGCGGTATGCATTTGGACCACACACATAAACCGTTACCATCAGTAAGTTAGACAAAATTTCCTACTAATATTATTTACATAACATAAAAAATGTACAAAAATTATAACTCAGTCATCGTCACCTTTGCCAACCGTTCGATAAAATGGAAACACGATACAATACGTGCGTGCCACAGATTAAGTTACGTAATTTTTTATGTTCCATCTGGCCATAAATCGCAAAACTGTTAAAATTACAAAGGAAATTTTAAAATAAATTATACTAACATTATAAATGCGAAAGTCTAGATGGATGAATCGTTATTACGTATCCCAAAAGGGCTTAAAATATCTCGGTGAAATTTGATACATTATAGTCTAAAAGAACGCAGATGAACGAAAGAATTAAATAAAAAACTTGATAAGTAAAGAGTAACCTACTTACCAAGTTTTTTTATTCCCCTCGAAGTGACCGGCAAAAGCTATAAGTTAATAAAAAAGATTACTAAAATCTTACTAATAAATAATTTGTGTAAAGAAAATAATTTAACTATTTTAACTACTCTTGTACTTGTAAACAACGAAAAGTCTTTTTTTTTCTTGTTATAAACGACATACGCATGACTGTAAAATTATAATTACGTATGCATAGGGAAAACAAACTATGAATGTAACGTAGGGCGATTGAATCATCAAGAAATTATATGCAGTAAAAAAACACCGTGGAACACATGACATGCGTTTCCATATCCTGTGCAGAGGTTTCGAGACAGACATTGTTTAATGTTATATTAATTGTGTCAATCAAATATGGGTTCTGACTGCTTTGACATTTGCAGTGATTGTTTGTCTCTGTTTTTTTCCAAGAGAATGTATGAGATGAGAATATGTGTGTTAAACTGTTGTCGCATTACGCTGTTGAAGCTTCGGATAACCTCTGGACTCATTATATCATTACCAACATGACAATGCGATTTAAATAACAAAAAAGGTCTGTTTAAAACAATTTACATATTGTTAATTTAATTACGACTAAAACTCTGTACTCATTTCCCGTTTTACTCTGAAATTGACAAATTAAATACACGTATATACGTGGATGTATTTATAAAAATATTGAATTAAAAATACCGTTATACAATTAGACTCAAGATATAATCTCAAAATTAAGTTCGTTTATTATTATTTTAGTAAAATAATGTAATTTAGTAAGTAAACAACAGATTATTTTGACACAAGCGTGAAAGCAATTAGCCCAGATACAAAATAATTACAGATAATAAAATTGTCAATATCAAAACGTGTGATTTCACAGTTTTCAATGAAGTGACTTTAATGCTTTAACCGATTTAAATAATTTCTGGTGTGAATTACAATTATTGTCACGCCATATAAATAAATTATTTTACGGGCAAGTGAATGTAAAAGTACACAGTAATTATATTATTTTTACATCCAATAAAATGGAATAAAAAGTATATTTTTTTATTATTTATTCTGACGATGTTTGTAACTGGCAGTGGTTGTCACGTATAGGTCAATAACTTAATTGTTACAAACACGTAAAAAAAAAGTTTTTGACCCATGCTTGACAACCATTGCAAGTTCGAACATCGTCAGAATAAATAAATAAAAAATATACAATCGTACACATATTTATAATTTTGAGACACTTGGTCCGTGGGGTCCTAGCGCTTTAAGTCTTTTTAAACACATATCCAAAAAATTAATCGACATCACAGGGGACCGAAGAGCTGGCAGCTACCTCGGACAAAGAATTAGTTTAGCTATCCAAAGGGGGAACGCTGCAAGTATCTTCGGGACCTTGCCTAAATGGACTTCTTTTAATAATATATAATATTTTAGTAAATTATTCGTTTTTAATATTTTATTTAATATCATAAATTTAAGACTATTCATTAGATTCTTTATTAATTAAATTTAATGATTCTCGAATTAAATAATGTCACACGTATGTACCTTTGTTAGGATAATTTTCAAATCCTGAATTAATAATTATTAAAAAATATTTGCATTTCTTTATTACAGCATTCTAATAACAATTGTTTTTGTTAGCAAGGTGTGTTGCAAAAAACAATTAGACATTCTACATTAAATTTTTGTTTTAATACAAAAAAAAAATTAAGACGGAATTGTATCTTTTTGGATTTTTCTTTTTAATTATAAGAGTATTTATTGTGTTTAATGGATGTAAATTTATAATAAATATAGAGAAATAATAATTACTAATTATTATATTAAAAGTCGGAAAAAAGAAATTCGTTTATTCACGCATAATTCTTACGAAAAATATAGCAATCGCCTTCGTTATCTGTTTAAATGTTTATAATAAATTGCTGTACATTATGTCTGTCTATCGTTCAGATAACTCGTATATGTGATTAGTTTTTATCTGATAATTACACATTTAAATAAATATGTTGTGAATATCTAATTAAAATATATTTTACTTCATTAATTATTCTAATGCGTATTACATCAAAGTGCTGTATTTTTTATATAACCCATTAGTTTCAGTAACCTGTACTAACCTGTTTCTGACACTTAAATCTCTGCATAAATCTTATCGTCATCCCTGTCATTATCTTTGACAAAACAAAGATAACAATATGTTTTAAACGAGGATTTTCAAATCAGAAACCCACGGTGACACAGTAAATCGTATAAGAATTAGGTCTACCAACAATCAATAAACGTAAACCCCAACACCGGCAGTAAAAGCGACAACCAGTAGCTGTCCACGCTCAAACGTTGTTTGCATTGTGCAATCCCAAAGAATTCGGTTCAAACCCGAGGCGGTGATAGCTTTAATAATAAAATAGTAAACAAAATGTCATTTATAGACAGAATATATTGCGTTTAAACGGCTCTAAATAATTATTTCACATCTTTAATTTCCTTTTTTTTCAGTATATCGAGAAGTTCCTGAACGAGTCGGAACACGGAGTAATTTTGCTAAGCTTCGGTTCTCTGATCAAGACGTCCACCATTCCCAAGTACAAGGAGGACATGATAGTGAACGCGCTGGGCAAGCTGAAGCAGCGGATTATCTGGAAGTTCGAGGGGAGTGGAGAAGAGGGTACGCTCACCGGCAACATTCTCAGAGTCAAATGGCTGCCTCAATATGAATTACTACGTACGTATATTTTACACAGATTCTCATTTTCCATAGACTGAATGAGACCAAAAGAGAAACATCCGATCTTATTACTTTTGTCAATATAATTTTATTCTTATACTAAAAAAAATGCTTTGTCACAACATGTAAAGTCGGGAATAATGATGACGCGAATGTTTCGACGCTGTAAGATAGTGTATTTTTATCAATAACTTAATAATGACTAACCCTTGTTAATGAAAAAATAATGAGGCTAACTAACAGTGGATTGCTTTTCAGGCTTTAAAAAGTCACAGTGGAATAGACATACAAATGAACATTTGTTCTGTTGTATATTCTCGTAGTATCATTGTAAAATTCCGTGTAATAAAAGGACAATATTAATGCCCTATTAAAAATATATCGAGAAACTTATCACTTATCAATTATCTTAATCAGAAGTGTCCTCGAAAAATTGAAAACGTGCGTTTTAAAATGGTGATAATCATAAACCTATGACGTAATCTTTTTTTTTAGAAAATATTAGCAATTTTTTTTAAATTTACTAATATTTCTTTTACCATTCCTACTAAGCTCTATGCTTGTGCTAGTACATGATTTACGACAGAAGTCAAATGGCAGGATTCGAGCCCCCGACCTAGTGAACTGAAATTCGTCCCCTGAAGCATGACGCTATTGGTGCTTCGTCGTGAAGGATCTTACTTATATAATATATATAATAAATGCAAATGTTTAGATTTATGACTGGAAACATGGATGCTTGTTAGAAGGTATCTCCAGAATGACTTGACGGATATCGCTAGTAAGCGGTGTAGAACACAGCTTTTAAGAACACACTATCGGCTAGTTTTTTTTTTCAATACCGCGAAGACGGTGTCGCGACAGGCAGTTATAAAATTTTAAGACATGAGAAATAACTTGATGCATATTAAAATAAAGTGGTCGTAAAAAAGGCACAAAAAATTTCCGGAAAATTTCCGGAATGTAATTTTGGCACACTTAAAAAACTTCAAACTTAATTTGTAAAATTAAAAAGTTAATATAATTTCCATATTAAAGTATTTAAAGACTACAAAAATTATAATATTTTTTACGGATGTTCCAATTACACTAACATATGCTAATCAGGTAATTTTCTTATTTTTTTAAATAAACCTCATAATTGTGTTCCCGATTTTTTATCATCTGTTAATTTTTTACAATCTTTGTACATGAATGTGATTTATGTCAGTATATTCAACTTTTTATATAGTCGCGGTTAAGATGAAAAACACGAATTATAACAAGACCGATTTTTAAAACAAAACTACATTCACATAGTAAATTAAGAATAATTACCATAAGCACGCGTTATTAAAAATATAAATATTCATGCGTCCGCGCTATATATTATTTCATACTAATGTTATTATATAAATGCGAGTGTTTGGAAGGATGGATGGATGGATAGATGGATATTTGTTAGAAGTTGTCTGCAGAACAGAGCTCGGTAAAATTTACCATAGATGTAGAACAAAGTCTGAAAGAATTGATACGTTACTAATTAAGTTTTTTTTTTAATTCCACGTGGAAGGAGTCGCGGGCGACAGCTAATAGTGTAGGTAGGGTTAGTAAATTAGAATATCCGAGTTAAAAAAATATTTTGTTAAAATAAAATGAAAATTTGGACCACGTTTGACAGATCAAGGTTATTGGCGCGCGACAATTTAATTCAATTATTTTTTACAAATGTGTAATGAACAATTTCTTTCAAAGATAAGGTGGAAATGGTCCGACTGGTCGAATACATAAATATTTAATGTCATGAAAAATGTTTAGTTGATGTACTTCAAGGTCACTGTGGTCACACAAGGAGTCCTATCATATACTTAATTTAATATTACAATACGTGATTATTTTTCTTTATTTAAACACAGAACACAAGAAGGTAGTAGCGTTTATCGCTCATGGCGGTCTACTGGGGATGACGGAGGCGGTCTCTGCTGGCAAGCCGATGGTAGTGGTACCTTTCTTCGGAGACCAGCCCGCCAACGCTGCGGCGGCTGCTGAAGCCGGCTTTGCTACCGTCGTGCCTTACATTGAACTTACTGAAGAAAAACTCATCAAAGCATTGGAGTTTGTGTTAAGCGCTGAGTACGTCGAATTTTACATTATTTTTTTTATTGAATAATGGTTTCTCGTTTTGTAATCATATGAATGAACGTCGGTGGCTTCGAAAGTTTTTGTACCTATTCTGCTTTAATGTTTGTATTTTATAATTACGCTTTAGATTTATAGATCTCTTAATAATTTATTTAAAAATAATCGTAACAATTTTTTGCTTGAATTTCCTGTTTCTGAGTACTCGCATTTTAATATATTATGCATCTTTTTATGTAACCAGGAAAAATATTATTCCTGAATTATCAAGACTGACTTTACAACGATAAATAAAACTCATCTTGATGGAAATATTAATATTGGTTCTTATCATATTGCGTGCGTAATCTACGTCAGTTCTACAATGACCGCCTGTATAGGTGCACCCAAACTTTACGGCGGCTCGCAATTACACACGAGACGATGCGCACATTATTTTAGGAAACAGCGATGTGATCTGGCGGCCGTACATTTTGAATCTTATAATACTGTGAACGAAGACAACGTTGTGCAGATTGTTAGGCGTGTTATAATTATTGTTTTTATAGGTTTTATTTTATTTTTACAGAACTAGATTGAATGCGCGTCGCGTTTCGAGCATATGGCGCGACAGACAAGCAGACCCGCTAGAGACAGCGGTGTACTGGACTGAGAGAGTCATACGCTGGGGTCACCATGCGCAGCTACATTCGCCCGCAAGAGACATGCCTTTGTATCAAATCGCCTTACTAGACGTCATCGCCACATTAGCTGTCGCCATTTTGATTTTATTGGCGATATCGTGGTATATTTTGTCTAAAGTCTTTCGACTTTTGTTTGGACGAGAAAGTAAATTGAAAATGCAATAGGTTTATAATAAAATAATAGTGAGAGTTGCTTTAATTTTGTTATTGTATAATTTAAGCGGTAACATGTGGTCTAGTTAAGTGATTATAGGCTTGACTAACATATTTATTATCTACATTGAGTTTTTATGTTTGTTTTATCATATATCGAGCATCCATTGATGAATGTAGAATAACCCCAAAGATACTTATGGACTTAATATTTACAGATATTACTGCGAGTTTCTGAGACCAAAATCTCCATTTAAAACATGCCGTTAACTGTTTTGTTAAAGGTTATGACAGGGATGACGATATTTTTAATACAGAGATTAGTCTCAGAAACCCACGGCAAGTCAATTACTTTAATAAGATTAAATTGTCTAATTTGATATTATAGCATTAATGTAGCCAATTTGTGAGCAAACCTCTAGTAAGATTATTTAGTACCTCCCGTAAAGAAAGTATGCGTTTATAATATTTTTCCCCTATTGTTTTTAATCAAGCTGTCGCCACATCTATAGATTGCTTTAAGATGATTAATTCGGTAGTGATGGGTAGGTATAGTTATTTTTTTTGCGCGTACAGTCCGACATTGTGACACACGTCCATTAAGTACGATATTATTATTCCCACAAAATTCAATACTTTATAGGCGTTGTAGAATAAATTACATTTGTACAAAATGAACATAATTTATTGCTAAATGTTATAAAATTCCACTAGTTAGAGCAATCAATGTGATTTTAGATAAATAAGTTATGTATTGTTTTTAATATACTGTTAACTAAACTACGTTGTTAAATCAAATCCCTAAGGTGCTAAAGTTCATGTTCGCTTATAGTTCGTAACTTTGCCATTTTTTTTATTTATTAATTTATATTTTGGATTCAAAAGTGTAATATTCTTCTAATAATTTCATGACCAGATTAAAAGACGAGCAAAATTCTATTTTGGTATAACTAAATTATGTGACGTTCTACATGTTCATATTGTTAAATAAACTGTTGACTAATTAAAATGTTTTTAATTATTATATCGTTATTATTTCATAACCAAATCGTATAATTACCGACATTTAATCACTAACCGTGGGTTTCTAAGACCAATATCCTGTTTAAAACATATTGTTATATCTGTTTTGTTAAAGATAAAAGGCAGGAATGACGATATGTTTTATACACATATTTTGGAGTCAGAAACCCACAGTAAGTCTAATTAAATAACCTTGGAACGATAAGATAAGAACGTTCTTCCACGGGTTGCTTTTTATAACAGTGTAAACTCTTTATAACGTCACTCCATGTAACATCAAAACTGTTTATTTACCTTGTTTGCTATGCAATAATACACTATCTATGTCGTTGCTGTCATTCTATTTAACGTCAAAATAAAACACTACAGATCTATAAGCAGTAATTTCTAATTTCTCAGTTTCCGAAATTTAAAGGAACTACTGCAGCTGCGTCTGTTCTTTCATTTATTGCTTTATCATCTGTCTTTCATTCATCTTTTGTTTTTGTATGGATAGACTTTTGGTAAGTTAGCATTACGCAGCTGTTTACAGATATCCAAACTGTATCTGTAATTTAATGATGAAAAACTTTTATTAATACGCTCTATAGAAGCAGGAGAAAAATAGTAAAACCTTATCTTTTAGGTACTCCTCTTTCTTTTAAGTCAACTTACTACAATGTTGCTGATGATGCAACGTAGCGTTGTTTGATTTTAAAAAGTTTAATTAATTATTGCTCATTTCAAACCTGTTATCTAGGTATCGGCCGTTTATTATCATTTAATATGTTAATTGAGATGTTTAAGAATTCGCAAGTCACGTTCTATTGGTAATCACTTTAGACGGAAGACTTACGCCGTGCGTCACGTGAGACAAGTTTAGGCAGTTCATTGATAGAGTTGGAGTAAGCAAGGTGTGCGTGATGCGAATTTATATATTTCTGTTAATCCTGGCGGCGATAGCCAGCCACGACGCGGGTGATTGCGCGCGTATCCTCGGCCTCTTCCCGCACATCGGCAAGAGCCACTTCATGGTCTTTGAACCTCTGCTACGTGCGCTCGCTGAACGCGGTCATCATGTCACTACTGTCTCCTTCTTCCCACTCAAGAATCCACCAGCGAATTACACGGACGTGGTGCTTGAAGGTGCCGTACAAGATGGACTAAGCTCTATGGACTTATCCATGTTCGAAGTATCTAATCCGCTCATGAAAGTACCTCTTTTGAATACAATACTAAAGAACATATTCGAAATGGGAATGACCGCTCCATTAGCAGTGTCAACATGTGAAAGTATTATACGTCAGTCGTCTGTGATAGAAGCCTTAAAGCAAAAGTACGATGTGCTAATAGTAGAACAGTTCAACAGTGATTGCATGCTAGGGCTAACTCATGTTTTTGGTATCGAAGCTCCCATTGTGGGCATTTCATCATGTGGTATAATGCCATGGACGTACGCCAGAATCGGTTTACATGATAATCCCTCTTATATTCCTATGTTAACGACACCATATACAAGTAAAATGACGTTCATACAACGACTTGATTCGTTTATTTCGAAATTATACGTAAATGATTTGTACCATATAATACAAAAGAAAGAGCGTGCTATTATTGAAAAGCACTTCCGTGTAGAGATCCCTGACTTGGATGAAATAGGTAAAAATAAAATGTCAGTGTTTCTGGTGAATACTTTTCATACGCTTAACGGAGTTCGACCCACATTACCAGCTGTTATAGAAGTTGGGGGAATGCATCTTGATCATTCAACAAAAGTACTGCCATCGGTAAGTTCAAATTATTACAATGACAGCGCTTTTCAATGTTGCCTTAAACATATACATAAGCAATAAGGAAGCAGATATAAAAATGATTGGTCATGATGCCGGTTGCCTGTATATTTACAAAAATATGTAGGCTATCGGCTGATTACAATAATTTTTAAATTAATTTATTTTTACACTTCGTCGCACTATCCATTTTTATGAACTAATTTTGTAATACAAAAGAAAGCCAACGCAAAAATTATGAACGCCAAAAGTATTTATATAGTGTACTATAACTATATAGTACATAGGTAAAAATTTTGTTTTTATATCAGTATATCGAAAAGTTCCTGAACGAATCAGAACATGGAGTGATTCTGTTGAGTTTCGGTTCCCTGATCAAGACGTCCACCATTCCTAAGTACAAAGAGGACATGATAGTGAACGCGCTGGGCAAGCTGAAGCAACGGGTCATCTGGAAGTTCGAGGGGAGCGGGGAGGAGGGCACACTCACCGGCAACATTCTCAGAGTCAAATGGCTGCCTCAATACGAATTACTAAGTGAGTTTATTAGAAAATTCTCATTGAATATTGGTACGATTTCAGATTAATAACAGTTAAATGTCACTTACGATGTGCCAAGATAACAGAGCCTAAATTGCTCGTAATTTACATGTTTTTTTTTCTGATGTTTGTGAAATAGAACACAAGAAGATAGTTGCGTTCATAACACATAGTGGCCTGCTGGGTATGACGGAGGCGGTCTCTGCCGGCAAGCCAATGGTGGCGGTGCCTTTCTTCGGGGACCAGCCTGCTAACGCTGCGGCGGCCGCTGAAGCCGGGTTCGCTACCATCGTACCCTACGTTGATATTACTGAAGAAAGGCTTACCAAAGCATTACAATTTGTACTTAGCCCTGAGTAAGTTAGATTTTATTATAATTTTAACAGTGAAGTTTCACAATTGGTTATCTCACTACTTTATTTATTACAGCACATTAGTTATTTAAGAATGTTAATATAAAATACATTTTCCTTTCAGAACTCAATTGAATGCGCGTCGCGTTTCGAGTATTTGGCGCGACAGACAAGCAGACCCGCTAGAGACAGCGGTGTACTGGACTGAGAGAGTGATACGCTGGGGTCACCATGCGCAGCTACATTCGCCCGCAAGAGATATGCCTTTGTATCAAATCGCCTTACTAGACGTCATCGCCACATTAGCTGTCGCCATTTTCATTTTCTTGGCGATATTGTGGTACATGTTGTCTAAAGTCTTTCGACTTTTGTTTGGTCGAGAAAGTAAATTAAAAATTAATTAAATACATAGTTTTATACTAAAATGCTAGGGTGAGTTGCTCAAATTATAATATTATTAACTTGAAAAGAGATAAAACGTAGTCAGGTTTCGTTATTAAACACAAGTGTACAATGTTTTAATTACATACTGCCTTTATTTGTTCCTGCCTTCTGTTACTGTTATTTTGGACACTCATTTGCTGAATATATTTAAACCACAAAGATTCAAATAGTTTCAGCAAATGAGTCCCCATTTGCAGATGCAGGTTCTTTAAAACTGGTTAAGTTCACATACCAGAGAGGTTGGTTGAGAGCTTGGATTGCTTTCTGATTGTTCGGTCAACGGTAAAATTGAGACATATCTAAAAAAATAAAAATAAAAACACCTGACGAAACATACATTTTTTTAAGTCCTATGAAACTTGCCGATGAAAAATTGTTGCGTTGCTGGATTTTTTTATACAACTTATTTATAGCAACCCATACTCGAAGGAAAATCTTTTCAAAAATATTTTAAATTGTTACGTGATATCCATGATATCATTGTCTAGATAGTTTATCATAATATTATATATTCATAAATACTAAGATACCTATTTTATAAATTTGCAAGTCAACGTGACTTTTGATAATTATAGTATAATGTACGTAGACGTATAATGTATGCGTGATGCAAGCTTTTAAATCTTTTAATCCTGGCGGCGAGAGCCAGCCCCTGCGGTAAGAGACAGCGAACTGATAGTCAATCTGGAGTCACCATGCGCAGCTACATTCGCCGGCAAGAGACATGCCTTTGTATCAAATCGCCTTACTGGACGTCATCGCCACATTAGCTGTCGCCATTTTGATTTTATTGGTCATATCGTGGTACATTTTGTCTAAAGTCTTGACTTTTATTTGGTACAGAAAATAAATTAAAAATGCAGTAGCTATATAATAAAATAAGGGTCAGAGATCGGTTAATTAGGCTACTCAATCGATTAATGTTGTTGTTATCATTTAAGCGATATGTGTTCAAGGTTTTATGTATAAGCATGATTGAATAATATTTTTAATGTCATCGTGTTATTCATTATCATAATTACCCAATTTATGCTGAGATTTACCAATAAAAGTGGCGGATTCACCGTTAATCTACACCTACGTAATAGTACACCTAGGGCAGCCAAGGCTGCAAGACTGGTGAGGTAACAGACGCGGACTTTGTCTTGGACCTAGTATCAGTACTTTAATTATTTCACCGATTAAGCCGGCCTATTAAAAAAAGATGTCTGCCAATTATTGTAATTTACACAAACTTACGTAAATGGGTAAAGCTTTAATCAGGTTCTGCCATAGCAGGCTAAAGGTTAAAAATGGAATAACCCATAGTTGGTATGAGGATTACTCTATTTTATGGTATAGAAATAATACAAAAATAAACACGCTTAACAAATAAGTCTTTAATTAAAATTGCGTAAAATAAATAAAGATATAATCCAATCAAATCATTAAAAAAGTAATTTTGTAACACTCGCGACAAATACAGATGTGCCTGAAATTAGTCGCATATAAACGCATTAGACGACAGAGCAAGACAAATGTATACAAGATGTACTGTGGAAGCGAGATAGAAGATAGCATTGCTTCTACTTCTAACTTCAGACTCAACAATATTCATGTCGAGTACTATATACGAATCAATACATGAGCTTGTCACAAGTCACAATATGGGGAATATTCATGTAAATTTATAGAAACAGTGTAGTCATAAACTTTGATTATAAAGTAATGCGGTGTCTAGGACAACTACTACAGGCTATTTGATTTAATAAAGCTGAATATTAAAAAAATAGTTATTATTGGTAGTTTTTTTTTAATTTTCTAATTTTTCGAAACTGTAATTTCAGGTTATATGAATAATATGCATGGTATACAAATTTTTATATATGTGCAATTCAGAATAAAGCTATAGTTTTATATAAAGGTTATGTAAGTCAAAATGAGTTAAGCCCACTTCCATATATCCTTTCATTCAAAATGGGCTGTTTAATTTATGTTTGCTGAATACATAATTATGAGATGTTTTGTTTTTATTTCTAGGAGACCAATTCAGTTTCAAGCTTTTTAATTTTAATCGGCAGAATCTGTACCATCTCTTTGCAAAGACTGTACTCTTCTTTCATCATGGAAGCTGCCTCTTCATCGCTCTTACAAATATCAACCACAGCTTGATATGACTCATAGCTCTTTTTAATATTACTCAACTGCATAGCTTTATCTAAAGCAATCCTTTTCATACTATTCCGTCCCATATAAGCGTAAGCACTAACAACTGGCCTTATAACATCATACTCTAATTTCCTTGGTAATTTTCCATTTTTATCTTTAATAGAATTCAAAAAATGATCATAGTTTTCGATGCTCTTCTCACATAACATGTTAATTTTCTTCAAAGCATGTGGCGATGGTTTCTCAGAGCTTTTGTTAACTTTGTCCAATTTTATATTTAATATTTCCGAATACACTTCCCCAAGCTCATACCACAGTTGACGGCAATACTGTAAATAGTATACAGGATTGATTTCTTTAACCAATTCTTCTAGCATATCAACCCGACGTTTGTGCATTTTTGCCCTCCTTTCATCGTCTTCTTCAAAGAATGCTAAATAAGCATATGATTGAGAACTATCTTGTGTTAGTTTAATATAATCTGATGCTAATGAATCTAATTTGTAGTACTCCTTTGCTTTGTTCAACCATGACTGACAGTTCAGGAACACTTCTCGAGCATCTTGGTACATAAGTAAGAATTTATCTGTTACTTTTTTTTCATATTTGGATACATCTAATTCGGGAAAGTTGATATTTTTTATGTCTCCTCCGCAGATATTTTCAGTGTCTTCAAGATTCAAATTTGACATATCTAAAATGATAAATTAAAAACCTATTGATAATGATAGATAAATAACAATATGATTATAAATAATCTATACTAATGTTATAAAAAGAAAAGATTTAACTGTTTACATTTAATAGGCTCTAAATCTACTGAAACAATATAAAAAATTCTTTCACTGTTGGGAAGCTACATTTGAATACTAGTGCCTGGAGACATACGCTATATATATAATATTATTAGATTTGTGATGGACAAAGACACTGGCAACTGCTTGTTTGACTTCATAAAACAAGGATTTATAAAAAAGATTAATAAATTTTAATACCTGTAATGGCATCTTCTAATCTCTCAGCATCATCCATCAGTCTGGCTTTAGATGCACTCATCAGCAGTAGACAGTACTTTGCCCAACATCGAGCAACATCTGCAGATCTATGCTTAAACGTCTCCACCTTGGCTAAGTGTGCTTCCTCATTACTCTCTACTGCTTGCAAATTCTGTTCATGCTGTTCAAGTATTGTTGATGAAGCAGCCAATAAATGTCTTGATTGAAAGAAGCCATTTTGTTCTGCAAAATATTGAGATAATGTTGCAGAATTTAAAGCCCAATCAATTGGTTCATAATCAGAATACTGTAACTGCCTTCTTAATGTTACATAATAATAAATTGCCGCCTTTAAATTTTGTTTCAATGCCCAAAACACTTGTGCAAGATAATATAATGTTAATGTATGTGCTTTCTCAAACAGTAAGAAGTCGTCAGCAGTGGTTTCCCCAGCATTGTTTATAATTTGCTCAATTGCAAGAGGGATTTGCAAAGTGCATTTAAAATTCTCATACAAATCTTTGGCTTTCACAAGGTATTCTTTGGCTTTCTCTTGTTCACCGCGATTGGACCATAAAATACCTAGATGATTATAAACATTAATAAGTGTTCTAACAACTTCAGGTTTAGTAGCATTTGGTGTTAACAGTTTTTCGGCTTCAACAAGAACATTTTCACTTGCTGTTAGTTCCTCGGTTTCCATATCTATTATACCGATATTTAAAAGCACTGTACCCATCATTGCGTCTAGTTTTACTTTATCTATGCTATCTTCAGACTGGGATTGTGATATTGTAGGAAGAGATACATACATATTTAGCAAAATTGCTTTAGCCTTATATTTAGAAGCGTAAGGCTCGTTTTCTGGATCATTCTTACTGTCCTCGTCGAGTAATTTACGAACTTTTCCGTAATTTTCTTTGAAATCATTAATGATCTCTTTAGCAGTCATATTTTCTGTTACAATCATTTTATGTTCAAATATACAACTATTAAGCTTGTTTTGCTTAGCAAACTTATAAAGACCTATGTATTAAAATTTTAATTGTTGATTATTTAACCAATTATGCCTGTATCTAGAAAAATATTATTTGATTTACATAAAATTTGTCAATTTCTGTTGCGATTTGCTCATTTGTCACTTTGTAGGCTGTCAGCTGTCACCTGTCACTGAAAACTAAACTTTTTTTTAAATAAAAACTACATGGTTATCGTGAAAAAATTATATCTTATTTTAACTGAAACAAAAACGTCTTTATTTTCATTATTCAATTTTAACAGTAAGGCAAAAATAACACTGAGATGGGAGAATAATTGAAAATATTTGATATAATAAAGGACATAAAGTGAGACTTAAAGCCGTGAGCAGTGGAGAAATGGAGGTTTTTATCTCTTTCTACAAAGTTTACCTTAGAATTTATCGTTTAAACAATTTTAGTGCTTTTCATGTACCATTACTTTTTTCCCTTCTTCTTTATGCGTTATTGTACATACATTCCCTTAAGAATAACTATAGAGAAATATTCCCATCTATCTATCAACTTAAGAGGCTGTCGTTGATGAACATTATACATTTTATCTAGTAGATAGACCACTGACCAATCTTCTCCTTTCCTCCGACGATCTATTGGGAATACTCACATGCATCTCATACTGCAAATTAAATGTTTATTATACGCCTTTAGTGTATATTTATCGGTTAGTTCTATAAAGTCCTAATAAATGGCGGTTTGGCATTTAAGTAGCACAGATATCCGGCAGATGGCGCCGTATTTTTATTGCTAGATTAGATAGATGGCGCGTTTGAATATATAATCTTACTAATGTTATAAAAGGGAATGTTGTATGGATGGATGAACGAATGTTTGTTAGATAGTATCTCCAAAACGGCTGCTTTGATCGCGCTGAAATTTAGCATAGACGTAAAACATTGTCTGGAAGAGCAGGATATTATTTATTTTTTCTCAAACGATTTTACAAACTTACTGTACACATTCAATTTTATACGGAAATCGCTTAGCTTTTTTATTATAATAAGGTAATTAATATGGGATGGTGTTATTACAATGAAATGCAAAGGCTTCGCATTATTTCGCATTGCTTGTTAAACTTAATAAAGAATCAAATACATTGTGCATACATACAACCATAGAATGGAAAAAAATATCTCAATTTTTTTTTGTATAAGTTGGTATTGACTGACAGTAGCAGGATTTTTGGGCAAATAAACCTAATAGAACCTATAACCCAAGAATGGTTTAGGGTTGGCACTTTTTAGTTAAAAGCTGGAAGGAGTAAATCACAACACTTTTACTTTGCACTGTTTATTCTTAAATAAAATAATGATAAGAAATTACAACTTCATAATATTTTTTGCTAGCAAGTAGCACCGTTAATTAAAAAAAAAGTTAATCAAACTGAATGAAAGATAGAAAATTACTGTAAATTTTCAAACAGAATAACTGTTATCTTTATGAAGCTGATAAATTGGACCCCAAATAAAATGGATTTTTTTAATGGACACAACTAAAAATGATTTTATTTATAGTTGCTCAAGACATTTTTGTCCTTGTTTTACGAGTTAGATATAATTTTTTGAATAATTTTTAATATTTTAAATAAAATCGACAATAGACATAATATTGCTTTTTCAGAATGATAGTTTACCATTAAGCATCAATGATATGTAATTAAATTTTACTTATAACATTTTTGACTGATTTTCATTCACATTAGTAGAAGGCAATTTGCATAAAAATTTCTATATTGAAATTTTAACTGCCATGACATGTAATGATACATTATTTTTCTTCTTTTAATTAATAGCGAGCCATAATTTTATGATTTTGCTAATTAATGTTGAAGGTAATCTAAAATTAAGTAGTGAATGACAATCTACATACATAGATTTCGGTATGCTTTGACAAATTAATATTTGCTTTATTTCAATTGTGACAATGAAAGAGGGCAACATTTTGTTGTCTCTGTTTTTTCAAAGACAATTTAAGGTATGACATTACATGTCAATACAAATAGCAGTCAAAACCCAGTTACAAAATTATTATTAAATGCAAAAACATTTGTAAATCAATAATCATGATTCACATGAATTTTGTCAATTAATTTAATTGAAAATTGTTGTATACAAAATTTAGTACTTTTAGTACATAATCTAATTAACTCATGTACATATTGACCTGGTTAATCTTATTAAATAACTAACATACAATATTACTAACGTAAAAATTACTATATCCTTTCTCATTTATTTTACTCATCAAATCAATGAATCTTTATCAATTTAAACTTGATTATTATGGTAGATTTTAAGGCAATATTTTTGCTATCAAAGCTAATAAAAAAAATAAACTTAAAAAGTTAATTAAATAAGCCTGCCATTATAAGCATTTCCTAACTAACACTTTCAAATTCGTAAATCTTTCTGTCAACCCCCTTATTAATAAGTAATCATTTTAAATCTATTAAATACCATTATTTACATTGTACTGTCGACTGTATAAAACATTAATCTTAGATGCATCTATAAAATACTTTCCGTTGATTTTCTACAAATAAGGGGGTAATCAGGGTACAGCACTGACCAAATTTGTTTATCTCAGATTTG